TCTCCACCTAAAATTAAACTCAACTCCTCAAACTATCTTTTCGCTCTCACACGACTTTGAAAACCTTTTTCAAAATGAAAGAAGCTTCGTCCATTTCACGAGGATGCAAACAACACTTCTCCATGTGAAGACCAAACGGTTTCCACTCAAATGTGATGATGGCGAGAATCTGTGTTGGTCCATATTCAGTCACCCATTCTTGAAGTGATGCAAATGTTCAATTATCCATGTTTCGGGTAGCAATATTTTTCGTTCGATTGCGACTTGAGAATCTTTCACTAAAATGAATCAATAAACAAATATTTATTACCCGAACTACGAAGCTTTGATTTCCTTATTGCACCCTAAAGATACATGGGCATGAGATTTTGAAATCTTAGCGAGCACAATAATAAAAAAATTCAAAAGTTATTTATCCTTTCTTTCTTTTCTTTTTCTCGCATAATAAGTAGAAGATCACAAACATTCAGCTAACACTCATTTGCAAAACTAATTAAATGGGTATCATTGAGTATAACATATGTGAGGGGAGCTAATATATTTCCCTTGCATAATCGACTCTCGAATTCGGTCTTGGTTGTGATGACCATTTATTTTCTTTTGTTGGATTTATTATATATTTCTCTTTTCTCTTGGAATAAATAAAGATCGATGGCGACTCTGTTGTATTTCGAGCGTGCCATGCATCCAAGTATATTTTTTCGCACTGCGGCAGAGAAATACCTGACTGAATTCTTTTTTAGAATGATGAGTTATGAGATGTCCTCTTCTAAAATCCAATCAAAATTATCCCGGTCCATAATCCATCGTGAAAAAGAAAGTAATATTATGAAGAAAAATAATAAAACTTTATAAGACATAAGATAACACTAATGAAAACAAGTTAGGAATTAAACATCATAAAAATTACAAATTAAAAATTATCAAAAATAAACTATTGACCCATCGTGAAAAAGAAAATAATATTAAGAGTAAAACAATATAAAGCATGAGATAACACATGATAAAAATTATCAATAACATAGTTTTTAAAAAACCATAATCAAATAAAACCAAAGAGAAAACAAAGAACAAGAAATAAGGGAGGACTAGACCAAACCCCCTTAAGAAGTAACAAGAAAGTCTAAGTCTAGGAATATCTATTTTATCATACACGAAATACTTAGACGTGTCCTCTTGAAGATGAGAATACTAGTGAAGAATTGAAAAATGATCTAGCAAGGTGATCGCCAGAAGAGTTCCCCCTCTCTAAACATATGAGTAACCATGAAATCTATAAAATGGGATATATACAAACAGTTCAACCATCTAGTTCTGGTGATCTAAGGGATCAAAGAGACATTGGAGAAAGGTTTTGCCACAATTAAGGAGTTTATTTCCAACTAAAACTTTTTCCAATTTTTCTCCTAAAATAGCTATCATTGCCCAATATAATTATGCAAGCAGACCATTCCCTAAACCTGAGAAAGAAGCAGAGATCCCAACATGCTTCAACCTATCATTTCTAAAGATCCTACCGCAAGCACAAAAAGAACCTCAATAATCTTCTTAGTCTTTGAGGATGAATGTTGATTTTGAAATGCTTAAATTGATCAATGAATAATCAGAAGACTTAGAGATGTGGTTACCTAACATCATGACATTAAGACTTAGAGATGTGGTTACCTAACATCATGACATTAGAGGCAATGGTTGATATGCAAGATTCCATTACAATGAATTGTCCTTGAATCTTTGTTGGTATTTGGCTATCCAAACATTATATATGATGTTAATCAAATAGGAAGTGAATACTACCTTCCCCTTGGGGTGACCAATCAAGATTCAAATCCTTTCGACAGTCATAAGTGAGGAAGATGTAATCCCTTATGTCCCATCAATTAACAAAACATTTTTGTTGTGGAGATATTAAAGTTGGAAGCACGGTAGTCATTCTATCATCTAATATCTTAGCTATTATTTTATGTTTGAAAAGCAGCATTTTGTCATTATGGGCTCATAATCCCTAATGATACGAGCAAGAAATTCTTTAAATTAAACTTTATTAAAATGATAAAGAAATTGAGTCTCGATGCCATGAAAATCACGGGTAAAAACCATTGATAGAATATTTAAAATTATTAAGAAGCATACAGTTATCTAGAATTATTCCTCACATAACATAATTATTTTAAAAGAGGTAAGCAATTCTAGTTCTTGCCGCCAAACGCAGCCTTAAGCTTCTGAATCTGTGCTACATCAAGTAACGTAGTCTTTGAAAGTATGGAAGTTGATAAATCGTTGCCAAATAGTACCAAATCAAGTACGTGCGTGCTAGGATCTGAGCTACTAAAAGCTGCAAAAAAGATAGCTTTTCCAGCACCAGTGTTTACTAGAAAATGCAACTGTCCTTTTGGAATAGCTATAACATCACCGGGTTTAGAATCTTTCAAAAATACTTTTGTTGGAGTGATAAATCCAACATTCACTTGACCTTCAACAATGATAACTAATTCTGTTGCATCAGGATGAGAGTGCAATGGTACTGTTCCATTTATACCAATGTCCCCTCTTAATGTAGCTATACCAAGTCCATTAAGACCGGGTAATCTATCTACATTTACAAAGGTTGTTCCAGTATTAAAAGGTTTTGTTGCATTTCCAGCTACGTAGCCAGAGAAGACAAAATCATCAACTGTTACATCTTTTTCTGACTTGCATTGATACCCTAGACGAGTTTTTGGAAGCGATAAATCTGCTACACAAAAATCATTGTTAACAGAAGTAACATTTGGGATACATGATGAGAGAAGACCAACAAAGAAGAGAATAATGTGAATCATCTTCATCTTTTGAAATTGGATGTGAGATAAGAGAATAGTGAAATTCATTTGCTATTTATAATGATATTCTTACAATGAGGGGATGAATAGAATATACATATTAGTTAATTTATTTAATTTAAATATAACCTTAATAGCATTACATATATTTGGCAAAAAAATATATAAAATATCTTTTTTTTTAAATATCGTTAAATAAAATAGAAATTTAAATAGTTTCTAAAAAAAATTTGATTTAAATATTGTATCTTTTTAAGGAAAACCTTTTATAAATATTAAAATTTCTAATATTATTAAAAGATACGGTGAATCAAGACATTATATTAATAAACTTTAAATAATATTAATTTACCGTATCATAGATCTGGAAAAATATTAAAGATTTATTTGTTATATATATTTTTAAGCATGATTTTTATAATATTAAATAAATTTGCTAAATAAATAAAATTTTCTTGAAAAAAAACTTTAATTAAAAAAATGGAATTACTCGTATTTATTTGTTATAGATTTTTTTAATATGAATTTTATAGCATTGCATATTTGGTAATGAAAATAAATAAATAAAATGTTAAAATAAAAATTTAAATATATTCTCATTAAAATTTTCATTAATTTTTTTGTCTCTTTTTGTTATGCCTCCTTTTAAAATTTTATTAAAATTTGAGGTTTATTTGAATAAATTTTAATAAAATCATTATTGAGAAAAAATTATTAAAAAAAATAGGTTATTTTATCATATTAAAATATTATTAATACATTTAATAAATAAATAGTACACATATCATATTGAAAAAATTATTTAATAAAATAAATTCTCTAAATAATATTGACATTTGAGAGTAATGGACAGAATATAACTGTTTTCCATAATTATTTTAAGATAAATTCTCACTTAATATAGTATAAAAGTTATAAATTATTGAGTAATCCATATATAGCAAATTAATATTTATTCAATTAGCCTGCATTTTTTTTGGAACTAAAAACAAAGTTTTATAACTCAGTAAAAGTTGTCATGAAAATTACAAACGATCTAGGCCTGCGACACATCAATATTTTCTCCTAATCCTATCTCAGTAGCTATATTTACAGTATTGTGGGCTTTAGTGTTATTCTCTCTTCTCACATGATAGAATTTCAGCTGTGTAAAGTTTTTGCTTTACCTCAGGATGTGTTGACACATCATATGATTATTTGATCTTCCTTCCTGCATGTAATTGTTGGTGTGAATATCAATAAGGGTTTTGTTATCCGTTAACATTGGAACATTACGAACATTGTGATGCTCCACTATAAGTTTCATCGTCATCACTTCAGCAGCAAGAGGATCTTCTTCTCCACTTTTGCACCATCCAATCTCTTCCACCGTCTCACCTTCATCGTTACTAATGACTGCTCCCAATCCCCAGAGCCCATGTATTTTGAGGCTGACATCTGTGTTGATCTGGATATTACATCTGTGGTAGTTGAGGTAGGGAGATTTCCCTTTATTGTTACTTTGTCGATCAATATTGTTTATTCTTCTGGTTCTGATTCGTATTTCTTTGTTGTGTTTGGGTTGTGGTGTTCCATTGTATGTTGTCGCTGGTGCTCGGATCTTCTCCATCTGAGTTGTGATGATCCTTTCTCTTAATTTCCTGTTGATATTCGAGTTTTCTTCATTATGATGATGCCCAGAATTTGGAGAGTAGTTGTGGTTCCTGACATTTAAATTTTTCCTGGGATGTCTGATTAAATTTTCCTGAGTTTTCTTCAGCTTGTTGGGGTGAGTATTTCCGGTCGTAGCACTGATGTTGTTCCCAATATAGTTGCTTGGGTCTTTTTGTCTGAGACTATGCATATTTTCCTTTGTTGTTAGGTTGTTATCATCGTTGATTCATTGATTGTTGGTTTTGATGCTCCTCTTTGTTCTTCTGACATTGTTTGTATAGGTGTGATTGACAGTTGCCTGATTGATTTGATTGATCTCACTGTTCTTCTTGTGGAGGTTAGGTTTATCTCTGTCGAGCCTTTTTTCCTTTTCTGAGTTGCAACTGGTTTGATTAACTTGATTTTTCTAGTTAGTTGTTTCAGATGCTATGTGATGCCCCGATGTTCTCTTCTCTATAAGGTCGTCTTCCTTTCCTATATCTCCATTCTGGTGTTGGTTTTCAATCTTCCTCTGATTAAGATTTTCTATTTTCTAGAGGTCTTGGGTGGTGGCTTGATGGAATTGATGGGAGTGTTGAGAGCTTGTTTAATGGTTTCGATCACAGGTATGTTTTGTCCTTCAAAAATCAGTTTATTTATGGAAATCCATATTCCACCCACTATCTTAATGAGAGTGGCAAGATTGTTAGGGCTAAAATTTCCCAAGTTACCAGTAATCCATTCTGAATATTCCTCGTTTGTGTTGGAGAATTTTAGGTTTAGGGGGGATCCATACCAAATATGCTTAACCCAATCAGAATTTTTGAAACAATGGTTAGTGTCCTCCATAACCGTGGGGCATCTAGGGCAGAATGGGTCACAAGAGATTCCTCTCTTGATAAGGTTATCCTTGCTAGGGATGATATTTTGAACGACTTTCCACACCAGAATCTGTTGTCTAGGAGTAACTTTACTTCTCCATATCTTCTCCCACATTGTTCTATCATTATTATTGCTTCTTCTTACTATATTAGGTTTTGCTTCCCATTTTATGATATTGTGATAGCCCGTTTTAACACTATAGTTGTCATCTTTGGCAGCTTTCCAGCAACTAGTATCCTCCTCTTCCAAATTGTGAAGAGGAAGTTTGAGGATATCTTCAACATCATTATTATTGAATTGATATTTAATGATTCCTGGCCTCCATATTCCTTTTCTATAATCAATAAGCTAGTTCACCTTTTCTACCGAACTGTGCTTAGGTTTATTAGATATGATTCTAAGATTTTTGTGGTTTGGAATCCAATTATGCTCCCTGTTGTACCCCAAAATTTGCCCTCGTATTTTTCCACAAGAAATCACAGCTTCAGGCTTTTCCTGATTTTTCAGACTGGCTCAAGAATCTGTCAAACAGACTTTTCTCGTCAGTCAGACAAAATTAGGGTTTTCATTGATTTTCATGGCTCTGGAACCATTCAAACAGTTTGCTTAGGGTTTGGTTGATTTTGGCTCAGCTTTGATCAGGCGAACGCTTCTTTGGCATTTGATCAGGAACTAGGGTTTTTGGGCGCGCATTCTCAGAAAGAATTAATCCCACAGTGCTTTTCAAGTTATTCCGAGATATGGACTGAGGCATTTGGATTGAGTTTGCAATGTTTGACTAAATCAGTGAAAAGAGTCATTTGGATTGAGTTTGCAGTGTTTGATTGAATCATTAAGAGAAAAGACATTTGGGCAGTTGTTGTGATTGACTGTGCTTTGCTTTGGATTTTTGAAGCGCCAGGTTTATTAATTGATCGATGCTAAAACCACAATGTTTATTTAATTGTTTATTTATTCTAAGTTAAGATAATTGGAATTTATTTCCATTTATTATAATTTAAGAATTATAAATAATAAAATAAATAATTGAAAAGAAGAAAAGGAATTAACTGATAAAAAAATGGATTTTATTCATCTTTTAATTATTCGTTACAATTGTTGTTTGAATACAGTATTTATTTACAAAGTATTCATAATAATAAATGTTTACAAATAATTAAATTTGGAATAAAACTATCCTAATTTTTCTAAGTTTCCTAGTCTTCATCTTCTATCCAATGCTCCTTTGTCGCTCAATTATTTTTCATCTGCAAAATAAAGAAAGAAGAGAAAAGTCAAAAGCAGATAAAATTAAAAAGACAGACAGATAAAAAAGAATTCATCATTAAAGGCAACTGGCCGGAATCAGTTCGCCCTCTCTGCAAATCACGAGATTTCTCCCGGTTCACAGAGAGGGATGAAAAATACTTGCAACAAAAGTATTGAAATGCACAAAAGTTTTAATTGCACAAATTCAAATTTGTCAAAGCTGCATAATTTAAAAAAGTCTCAAACAGCATGGCAAGTACAAAATCCAAAGGTAAACTGAACTAGAACTACAAAGTCCAAACTGAGTTCAAATGTCAAACTAAACCAAAAGCTGACCAAAAGGCTATTCAGATACAAGTACAAAATGCTGTCAAAAGAAGATATGGAAAAATATCAAGAAGACATAAAGTATGCAGAGAAAACATGTATTGCAAGCAAGCAAATTTCAATATCATCATTTTTCCAGCAGTGCCTTTTCAGGATAAGGACAATATAAGCAATATAGAATGCTTAAAAACTGTCAAAGAGAGAGGAGAGAGAGAGTAAGAGGAGATAGGCTTACAGGTTTAGGCATGAGGACAAGATATATAAAAACAAAAGTGCAATAAAACAGTAGGGCTTAAGGCAGAGATATTGAAAAATCAGAATACAAACAAAATTGTCAAGAAAAAGAAACAGAATTGCCTATCCACACCAGAAACCTTTCAAGCAAAGGCCATAAACCTGATTCAAACCCCGAACCTGTTTGAGGCATATAACACAAAGCCTTGGTTCTAAACCTGTGATGGCCAAAAAGCACAAACCATACCATCAAACCTTAAGCATAAAAAACATAAACTCACCAAAGCCTTTGTTCAAAAAACCGGTAAGCTCACCAAAAGCCATAGCCTCAATCAAAGTAAAACCTGCCTGAAGCTTTCAACCAAGCAAAAGAAGCCTGAACCTGTCAAACATAAAAACCCAAACAGAAAGCCATCCATAAACCTGCTAATGCATAAGCCTTTCAAATCCTCACTGTGATACAGTGGGAGAACTGACTTGAGGTTTGCGTTTGTATTCGCAAATGTTGCGGTTAGCAAGAGTCGCCACCGACTTTTTATTTTATCCTAAGGAAAGGTTGAAAAAGCACAGCAAAAACCTTTTGAGATGTTTTCTTGGGTTCGGGGAGTAGATTATAGAAAGGGAAGGTATTAGCACCCTTTCTATCCATGGTTATCCATGGGCTCTTAGCTACTTGCTTCAGATCACTTGCCTTTTGTTTTCAATTTGTTTGAAATGGTGCTTTGTGTGTGGGTTTTGAAAATGTTTTGAAAAGATGCCAATGTGGTGGCGACCTTTGTAATGATCCATGTGGGGATGTATATAAAGATGTATGTCTTTTAAAAAGTTTTCATTTGTTTTTTGAAAGTAGTTTTGAAAGTGTAGTGATGTGTGATTTTGAAATTAGGCAAGTGTTTTGTTTTTGCAAGTTTGATTCAAGTAACTAAGAGGTTATCTACTCCTAAATTTCTCAAAAGATTATTGTTATGTTTTAACCCTTTTAACAAGTTTGTTCCACCATTGTATTTGGTGGACAATCTTGTGTTAGGATGTGAAAGGGACAGGCGCGGGTCATCGTTTAGACCATAATTGCAACGGTGTTGAATATCTTTAGGCAATTTTCTTTAAGGGACTTGATCATTTGTTTTTGTTTGTTTTGAAAAGTTTTTGTCGAGGGACTATGATCATTCAAATTGTTTGCTTTGCCCAAGGAGGTTCAACATACAATATGGCCCATTTATTTGAAGGCAACAAGTGGAATACCCTAGGGGGTGCAAGTGTGATTTGTGTGTCCATTTTCATGCTTGTTTATCTTGTATTAGGTCAAACTATTTTTTTATCGTTTTTCGCATACAAACCCTAATTCTAACATGTTATCATTAGAAAGCAATAAAGTGCAAAATTAAATTTACTAAGCTATTACAAAACCAAATATGGGAAGGGGGGTACAAATGTTCAAATGGGGATATTGACAAGAATTTAAATCTAAGTTATTACATCATTTTGAATATTTGCAATTTAATCAATGTACAAAAAAAATTAAATAACAATGCAAGATGCAAAAGAATGTTTTGTATGTGTATGAAAAATATTATTTATGTAAAAGAGAAATGAAAAAATAAAAATTATATAATTTTTTGGAGTATTTTGAATTTAGGGCAAAAACCCTAATTTTAAAAGAAAATGGATATTAATTGATTTAATACAACTATTTATTCATTATTTATAAAAATAAAATAAAATGAAGTGTATTATGGAAAAAGGTATTTTTATATCAAATATTAATAAAAGTGAAAAAATTCAAGTATTTTTATATTTTATCTTAAATATATTAATAATCACATATATATATATATATTAAACCCTAAATATGTATTATACACAAAATAAGTATTTATTTAATATTTTAATAAAATAAATAAAAGAGTATTTTTTTTATGTGAAATATTTTCAGAAGGTAAATAAAAATAAAAATGTATTTACACTATTTTTTCTATTTTATTCTAATAATGGTATATATACATATTATGCATAAATAAAGAAACAAATCAAATAAATATGCCATAAATTCAGAAAATGATGGAAAAAATATTTTTAATTTTTTAATGCCATGAGAAAAAATAAACAAAGTCAGCCAAAAAAGAAAAAGTCAAAAATGTTAAGAAATGAACAAATGGGCTCAGGGGGGTGTGAATCAAAAAAGATGGTGTGAGAAGCAAAATAACACAGGCCCAGCCCACTCCACTCCTTCTTCAACCTCCAGCTCAAACATTTGAAAAACGCGCGCCCCTGTTCTTCAATGTCTAACTCCTGATTCTTGGCTTTTCAGCAAAAACTCATAACACAAGAAATGTTCAGCATGAAGAGACGGTTTCAACCATATAAATAACTTGACCTATCTCTCTAAGATGAGGGAGAATTTCTCCTCCCCCAATTTCTGACCTAACTTTTCATCAATGTTCAGACATGAAATTCTCTAAGCACACGAAACATAAATGAAATCTAATCATATGAGCGTGTTCAGGGCTATGATTGTGACATGTTTTCTTCAAAAACCTAAAGCTAACAATGCCTAATAAGAGAGATAGAACTCCATGAATATACCTGTTCAGTTGGAATAGAGCTTGGTAATGGAGGATGTTTCAGAGTGAAATGATGACTTGTATAGCTTCCTTGAAGTGTAAGGATGCTTTTCCAAGTCCTACTTTATCTTGAAACTCCCTGAATCGAGCTAGTGAACTCCAACTGCAAAACAGAAATTTAAAAATGGTGAAGTGGCTTGGAGGTGTTACAGGTCAGGTTTAAGGACAGGGTTAGCTTGCATATGTTGTAAGGAAGGTAAAGGAACAAGTTTGGACAAGAATGCTCGAAGGGATTGAGAGATAGCACTCAATCTGCAGGGCTTCCCCTGTTTGTGCAGTTTCAAGGTGATTTTGAGATGGAGGATGCTTGGGAGGTTCAGGACTCGTGCCAAAGCTTGGGTATGTTCTATGGAATGTGTTTGATAGCTTTTGTGTTGTGTGTCTTTGCTGAAGAGAGAGTTGGCATAAGTTATGGACCTTTCTTCACACTTAAGCTACAAAATGCCACTTTGCTCCCTAGGTCAGTACAGGCCCTCCCATTATGCTGCTATCCCTTGCCTTGATCAGTGCAATTTGTTCACAAACTTGTGCCAAGAAGATCTTGATTGTACTACTTGGATTGCAAACTTGACATAAAGTTCTTCTTTTCAAGAATGGAAATAGTGCTTTTTCTAGTTTAGGCTTAGTTCCTTGTGTAATGACCAAAGGCTTAGAATAACAACTTGGTTCAATGGTTTTGCATTAAATTAAGGAGTGTAATTTGGTTTAAGGACCTGTAAAGTAGCACAAACTATGCTGAGTTCAAATTTGCAAAGTTTATGAACATGTTTTGATGAAGAACAAAAGTGAATTCTTGCCAACTTGTGAAATTCGAATCTCTCAAGTTATGAGGTTGTTTGATGAGTTCTTGGACATTTTGGAAATCTTGGAATGTGTACTACAATCCATCTTTGAAATGCAAATCAAAATTCCAAGTGGAAGGGTATGAAAAGTGGCCTTGAAGTGGGGTAGAAAACCTTGTCAAAATAGGTTAAAATTTCACTAAGTTAAAAATGGTTTAGTGCCCTTATTCAAAAAATTGTAACTTGAGATACAAGCTTCAAATGAGAAAACTTTGTGAATCAAAGTTGTAGATTATGCAACAAGCTACAACTTTCATGTTTTGACTTTTGTTTGAATCCAAATGGATCATGGTGAAAAGATGGGGCAAAGTTGGGGAAAAATTAGGGTTTTTCATAACTTAGAAAAATTCTAAGTTATGAAAAATTCCATTTTCAAACCCTAATTTGCATTTTGAGATTTCTTGGTGAACAAGTTTCATGATTTGGCATGTTTTGATGAAAAATGAATCTTGACTCTTGATTTTGACCAAAAACTCAAAGTTTGACTTTTCAGTGTACAGTCAAAGTTGATCAATTGACTGGGAAATTCAACTGTCAATCTTGTGTACTTGGGATCTTTTAAGCTTGATGAACATGTCAAGATAGTTCCATGGGGTCCTTGAGTCCATGTGTGAGTTTGGTTTGCCATTGGTTAGGTCAAACAGTCAAAAATTGCCTTTGTGCAGTCAAAACCCTAAAAATGACCATTTTGCCCTTTTGGTGATCTGATCAAATTTCTTGTGGAATTGTGATCCAAACTTGATCAAATGGTCCATAGGAGTTCATAATGTTGATGTGGATCAAATTTCATGAGATTTGACTGTCAATTGGCCACAGTTGACTTTTCCCCAATACAGTTGATTTCTAGGTCAACTGTCCAATTGACTGGGCAAAACTTGGAATCAAGACTTGAAACTTGGTATAGGTAAACTTGGGAGTCCAACATGAAGCATGAAAGTCATATTAGGCATTTTAGGTCAAAACATCCTTAGGCAAACACAAACCCTAATTTGAGTCCACAGTGCAAGGGGAAGTCCTGAGCAGAGGGAACCCTAACTGAATCTTAATCTTCAAAGGTCTTGTGATGAGAAAATGTTGAGGAAATGGGAGGGAAAATTTTGGGGTACAACAGTTGCCCCTGTTCAATCTTCTTGAACCTGAAGAGTTAGATTGGCAAGTTTGCCTTTCGTGACTCGAGGGTAAAAGGAGATTGGACACTAGAGTGCCCGGAAATTTGCACTCGCATGCTGGAGTCTCAACAATGTGGTGTCGGTAATGGGCTTATAGATGCCATTTGGAGAGGTGGTAGATAGGGAGATGGGCTTATAGATGCCATTTGGAGGTGTTGATCGTATAAGAGATTCCTTAGCGAGAACTTGTGTATTTTGAGGAAGGAGGATGTTTTCCTGGCTTGTTACAGGTGTTTGATCTTCAGTCTCCTTATGCAGATATGCCCTGGCTAGATACAGGTATCAAATCTACAGTTAGTTGCTCACAGATGTGCCCTGGCTGGATACAGGAGTCGAATCTGGGAATAGTCGTTAATAGATGTGTCCTGGCTGGATACAGGAATCGAATCTGCGAACTCTTCAGACGTGCCCTGGCTAGATACAGGAATCGAGTCTGGAAACGTGGTCAACAGATATGCCCTGGCTAGATACAGGAATCGAGTCTGGAAACGTGGTCAACAGATATGCCCTGGCTGGATACAGGAATCGAATCTGGAGATGTTGTAGTTGATAGATGTGCCCTGGCCGGATACAGGAATCGAATCTTCGAACTCTTCAGACGTGCCCTGGCTAGATACAGGAATCGAATCTGGAAACGTGGTCAACAGATATGCCCTGGCTGGATACAGGAATCGAATTTGCGAACTCTTCAG